ATTGTCTTATAACTTATGTTATCAATGTCAGGATAAACATTGTTGACAAACTGTCGGATGTTGTCTATCAAAACATTAACTCTTCTTCTAGGTTAATCCTTCCCTCCCTTTGTATTAACTCTTCATTGCCAACTTTTAGCAGCATCTCTGGAAATAGCCTGTTCGTCTTGTTTGACATGGTAGCTTCGTCCCAGACTATTAATGAGAAGTCACGCATCAAATTTCCTGTTATGAGACCTTGATTGTAGAGTGTGCGTTTCGGTCTCCTTCCAAAAGCGTAGCGGCAATGCCGGAAAACGCAACAGCTAACGCAATTTTTGGAAAAGTGTCGTTTGATCGTATTATGTTTCTCTTGTGTATTCGGCACTGTTAGTTAAATTTGAGTTAGTAGTATTAGCCGAAAGTAAATTGTTCAATTCAAATAATGCTTCGTCCTATATGTTTTGATCATATTGTACAATATCTGAATTTAAATCTCACTGTCGACGAATTAGAATATTACTGGCCATATTTTCTTGAAATTTATTCCATAGATAAACAGAATCAGTTACTTGACAAAACGCTACTATGACGGCAAATAAATATCTTAATGATGTAGCTGAACTACAAACACCTGCTTCTGATAATGTGTTTTTGTGAGAATCGTCTTCTAAGAGCACCATAGCTTTGCATGCTGCTTGTTAAGTATTGTAAACAACACCTTGTACAGTTCTTAGGTATGCGAAAGATGTCGGGCCTTTTACAATATGCAGTAACATTCTCATATAACAGCATTCGCTGTTGTAGGGATGAATCACGTAGACTCTGCCAAGAGCATCTGTTTTATTTACTCTGGGGAAACTATCAACCGCAGTGCCTTGTTTTCGCCGTTGAAAAGTTTTAGAAGTCTGGTTCCATGTATAGTAACTTGGAACTCTGCCATATCTCAATAGCTTTGCGAAATCATCTTGAGCACATAACCTGAAGAATGCTGTCAATGTTGTATCACGCGGTTTATTAACAACTTCTTGTATATTGTTCTTAGTGAAATATACTCTTTGTCCATTTTCTAAATGAACTGCAAGGCGGACAATTGTGGGAGCCCGGTCGAGCTCTTCGAATGATAAAATCCTCCATACAGTTTCAGAGTTGCAGATGTAACGTCCAGACTGATATTTTTCCACTTCATTTGGTGATTGTATGCTGAAAGCGGCTTGGCTTAATGTACTTAGAAACATATTGAATTGCACAACTCTACGTTGATGTGGGCATCAAACATTTTCAAAAGGAGCGGATGATAGGGACCGATCCATCGGTTATCAATATCATGGTTTCGGACGGTAGCATTTTGCCCACCCTGTTCTGGCGATCGTCGACGATATTGCTTGTAGATATTCGTCATCGCTAGTACTTGTTTGAGTTTGAAACGACTTTGGAAATTTTTTGTTGCATTTAGAATCTCGCATACATGGAGAACTCGGATTTAAAGTACCGCAAGGGCCGTGTACCGTATGTTTCATTACGATTTCGTACAGGATAGGATCTTCATCTTTATCCGGTAATTCAGCTGAAATAAGCCTGTCAATTTGGTTTGGTCTAATTTTGTTGCCACGTTTCTACCATTCCATTGTGAACATACAAGTATGACAGCGCGGCGGACCGAATATATGAGACTTCTTAACGAGGTGCAGGAGTTTCTGTGCTTTTAAATGGAAGACTCTGTTAACTATATCGTATCTGTCTTGTGGAGTTAAATTGGTGTTAGTATTTTCTTTGATTTCCGACCAATTTGGGTTACATGTTGCAGTTATAAATCAATCAGGTTTGCCGTAATTTCTGACGTAAGTCATGGCGTCTTGCGAGTTTTCGTGTAAATATCGAGGTCCACCTATGAATGATGAAGGTAGTATAACCAACTGCCCAATACCGTTGCGGTGTTCATTCACCTGTAAAGCATCCTGAAAATGAACGTAGTTTTCGGCTCTCAATTTAGTTTGATTATTACGGATGTAGGCCAATCTCTCAAATTCAATTTTCGCAAGTATTGGTTTGTTAACATTCCATATCCAAAGAAAGTGTTGGAATTGTTATGTCTTGTCGTTATACGGTAGCAATAGTAATTCATACATGATATTGTTTTACGGAGAAGTGTACCACCGATTGGGTCAACTTGAGAAATATTAATGACATAACCATTTTCCCCACGGCACAGCACCAAAGGATATTGTAAGCTGTCATAAGATCTGTGTAACTCTGAATTTTTTTGCAAATTATCATCACGACTATGCAATACAATATCTCCTTTGTCAAAATTCTGTCCAGCTATCATCAGTGCTACTTCACTCGTGGAAGGCGCATTGCATCGTCCTCTGTGTTCTCCAACAGGAACTTTATTTGCTTGGATTACGACATTAAAGTCAGGAGTATCTGCTGGAACACTATCAGTTTTGAAAGACTGTATGTAGCAATTATGAGAATGTAACATATCTTGAAGAGATCTGAAGAGATGAACACCGCATAGATGCTTGTGTATCTGCATCTGCAATAAAATATATTTGCAGAAATTTGTGATCATCGGGACGAAGTGGTAGCAAGAAGCTCCAGCTATGTAGTACACTTGCCATTGAATTTTAAATGTAGGCATGAGCCCACGCTCAACAACTTGCTTGCTCTTAAAAGAGGTCATTTGAAATACGTCATTATAACGGCATATATTGCGCATGAATTGTTTGGATTACTGATGATCACCCGTAAGAAGAGAGTGAAGTGGTTCAAGTGGAGGGAGAATTTCTTCTAATTTGACTTTTCCTTGTTAGCAACACATGCCTTTCGATTCGTCTTTGAATTTCAATGTCAAGCAATGTTCACGCACTACTGACATAGTACCTATTGATACTATACGATCGTCCTTTTAAGAAATCGAAGGATCGTAATTCATGGCATAATTTTTTTTATTTACCCATGAATTATTAACTCGTGCTAATGATTTTCTGGCTCTATGTATTCGGTGTCTATCCCTATCTCGGCTGTGGCGAACCTCACGCTCTTTTTTGTCGTAAAAAGTAAATGAAAAAAAATGTTATTGTGCGATATCCATAAGAGACCTTTTCAATGTGTACAATACTTAGTACATTATTTTGATAAATATCGTAGGGTTCAGCCTGCGTTTGCAATGTAAGCGGAAAAAATCTAATTATTTACGACATCAAATTAGAAACCTCAAAAAAAAACAGTATTTCTACACTATTGAATGGATATTATTATACATATAAACCTTTCCCTTGAATCACTCTATCTATTAAAAAAAACCGCATCAAAATCCGTTGCGTAGTTTTAAAGATTTAAGCATACATTGAACTCGATTCATCGATCAATTGAAGGTTGAATGCGATGAATTAAAGAATCATCGCGATAAATTGGGTCAGAATGTTGAATTTCTTCAGAAGAAGGTGCGTTTCTACGAAATTGCTGATTGCTATGGTGATAATTTCCGATATCACCTGAAGAACAAATGTACGCAGCAAAAGACAAGATAATTTCTTTGTTGAAAAGATTTCAAAATGCAGCATCAGTTCGAGACTTCATTGGTATTTCATACAAACATTGCATCAATATGTGGTCACAAATAACGACAAATTCAAATTGGTCAATTTGATTCGATTGTACTTTCAAGGAAGAATTGATCCAAAACCAGAAACAGAACAAATGATTTCAAGTTAAAAATAAATACTTTTTTGTGAATTTTTTTCTTAAATATGGATTGAGTAATTTTATTCGGACCTTTTGTACATTATTGAGCATACTTTCGACAATATAGGGTAATTTTTTCATGCAGGAATATTGAAGCATTAGCCGGTAGCAGAGCTTCCCCCCCGTCTTGAGAAAAAAAAACCATTGCGGTGTTCACCATAACTCGGCTGGAAATTATCCGGAAAATTCGTTAAATTATGATCAAATCTTCCACCCCCAACGTTCTCTGATAATATTTTTTTTTCATTTAAAAATTTTTGGCGGCTATTTAAAGTGTAAACTATTATTTTCCACTAAAAATTTCGCCATTTTGGGGGTGGAAAACACCCTTAATGTAAAAAAAAAAATTTTACTAAACGTTGGGGGGCGGTATTTTATATGTCGAAAATGTGTATAAAGTAGTTTTGAAATGACAGTGAAGTGGACTTGGAAAAAGTAGGTTTGAGAAAAACGCGTCTAAAGTTTATGAACTATTGGTTGGGGCGTTAAAGGCCAGGAGATTAATAAGATAATGCCATTTTGTCAGATCAATTGATGGAATAATGCCGCTCTTGCAAGGCACCTTTGGATTACTAAAATTTTAATATATTTAGAATAGTGTAGAGTTGATGGAATGCGGATATTTACTGTTTTTTTCATGATTCAATGGTAACTTACATTTCATGATCTGGCAACACCATAGTATAGATCTGTACGGTATCGATAGGATCAGTGTTATCACATATAAGACAACTGTTCAGTTTTGAAATTAAAAGCCCTACCGCCCCCCCTTAATGAATTAAATGCGAGCGAATCCGCAGATAAAGGTAGTAAATAAATAAAAATCTTTTGTTGGTTTATGAATATTCTAACATCTGAAAACTTTCCTGACGAATGGACTTGACACAACGTTATCTTGTCCAGAACACCACATTATTTGATACACTGTATACGCGCGAAAGCGAAACAATACTTTATATCAATCCACGGTGGACTACAAGTATTAGCAGTGCCATATGTTGATTGTGTGTCGAACGCTCGCTTATGACGCTGTGAGGAAGTATGTTAAATGTGTTTGTTGAGGCACGGCTAATTGCGGACCACTGAAATTCACTAGCTATGCTCCCTCTTCTTAATGAAAATAAGAATTTAGTACGTTGTTTAAAAGAGCAGTACTCAAATAAGCTATCGCCTCATAGTGATTATTAATTTCCGGCGGCACAGCTTGTATATATGGAAAACAGTTATTTAAATAAACTAATTTTAATAATATTTAAACAAAATATTCATTTATTTTTTATACAGATTATAACAAATTCATCATATCTTAAAATTCACTTTATATATACTCGTTAATGAAGAACAATCTTTATGCAATATGTATGTGCGTACGCTTAAATTTCGCTATTTATATTAAATATGTACATAATTATTAAGAAAAAAAAAAACAATTCAACAAACGTTCATGTACTAAGGAAATTTAAGAAAACAATAACTAAACAAGTAAGGAAGAGCTAAGTTCGGGTGTAACCGAACATTTCATACTCTTGGAATTTGCCAGGATCAAAGACAGGGTCCATACAAAGAGAATTGGGTGGGTAATTTGTGAAAGAATTTCTCATATTTTCGGTATTAAACTATAGTATATCCAATATTATAATTCCAGTAAATTTTGCAAAGGTAACTGTTTATTTGCTGACATTTGCGATATAAAGTCAGCCAGTAGTTCAAAAATCATTCCATTAGGTATATGGGGGCTAAAGAAATTATTGCCCGATACAACCCATTTTTGACATAAAGGCATAATATTATCAAATAAGGATCCTCTTCTATTTCTATAACATATCTCACAGGTTGACCGATATTTTCGATCAAATGTTCGCTGTAGGAACTGGGGTTCACATATTCAATATATGGGGGGTTGATTAATTTTAGTCCGATTTAGACAATTTTTGGTAATAAGGTCGCCCAACTTAAAGGCACTATTCATGCAAAGTTTTATCCTGATACATTCATTGGTGCTCGATTTGCATACTGTAAAGTAAAAGAATCAGATGGAATTTAAAATATTGTTATACCTATGTGAAGTATGCGTGGTTGTAGTCCGATTTTCGCACTATAACATAGAATTATGAGAGGAATGTTATGTACCGAATTTGGTTGAAATCAATTAAGCAGATCCCAAGATATGGGTTTTCACCTAAAAGTGGGCGGTGCCACGGTACAACTTTGTATATATTTATGTATCGAGCAGACAAAATGCATGTAGAAAATGTTTGCAAATGTACGAACCCAAAATAGTCCGAAAATTGTAGTTTATTGGAGTGAGAAAACAATAAAGCTGCTATATAAGCAATAAATGTATGTATGTACGAGTAAATGATAAACATTTGACACTTATTTTCTAATGGAAGACAACAAAGTGACTTAGAGAGGTTAGTACTTATTAATGTAAGTATGTATTGTACATAAATAGTGAGTATTTGCTTTTGAATGTAGAAATGTGATGAAAGAAAAAAATGTAATAATGCTATTCGTTCCAAATCTCTATGCCTTGAGAACTTTTTTTAGTTGTTTAACGCCCAAAATTTGATACTAACGTTAAATTCCAAAAATAAAATCAACAAATTAAAATAAACGTTTGCTTCATCTCGTTCGTGATCCAATTATACAGCTTCATACTGCTGCCTATTTTTTCTTAAAATTCAGCAATGTGTCAGGTATTTCATTAATAAAGTTCTGAAAAAAAGTTGCAAGGGACAGATTAATAAATAAAATATGAGTTTATCAAACACTATATTTTTCTTACGTAAACTGGCTGATGTCCTACTTCGGGACTAGAGTAGTCGGCCCATTTTGTCAGATCAATTGATGGAATAATGCCGCTCTTGCAAGGCACCCTTGGATTACTAAAATTTGAATATATTTAGAATAGTGTAGAGTTGATGGAATGCGGATATTTACTCTTTTTTTCATGATTCAATGGTAACTTACATTTCATGATCTGGCAACACCATAGGATAGATCTGTACAGTATCGATAAGATCAGTGTTATCACATATAAGACGTGATAGTTTTGCCTTTCGCAATTCCTGCAACTGTTCGGGAGTGAAAGATGAAGGTTGATTCGCAAGCTCATACCAGAAACGGTCGCCCCGGCGAGAGTAACTCATTTGAGTGGCGATAACGCATGCAAAAGTGGGTCCCAGCATAGAACCCGGTAAAGGCTTCTCTGAAACACCGCCCGACCAAAGGTCAATATCAGCTGGATGCCTTTAAGTAAAACAATTTCAATAACTCAAAAAAATAAGAAATAGGAGTTTCCACACGCAGCAGTGTTATTTGTTGTTCACTACATTTGTTACAGCTTCTCGACTGTGAATACACTATTCTACGGTTAATCTCTAAATTTTTTCAAACCAGCTGATATTGAAAGAATATAAAAATTATAAACAAAACGAATAAAATGCCTAAAATAAGTGTGAAATCGAAAATAATTAAACATTTAATTGAAACAACTAGTCAATTGAAGGTAAATATAAAAGGTGTAAGAATTTATATAGATCAATAGCATATTTTTATACTCTCGCAACCTGTTGCTACAGAGTATAATAGTTTTGTTCAACTAACGGTTGTTTCTATCACCTAAAACTAATCGAGTTAGATATAGGGTTATATATATATATATATGATCAGGATGAAAAGACGAGTTGAAATCCGGGTGACTGTCCGTCCGTCTGTCCGTCCGTCCGTTCGTCCGTCCGTCCGTCCGTGGTAGCTCTAACTTGAGTAAAAATTGAGATATCTTTATGAAACTTGGTAGACATGTTTCTTGGTACCGTGAGACGGTTGGGATTACAGATGGGCGTAATCGGACCACTGCCACGCCCACAAAACGCCATTAATCAAAAACAAATAAATTGCCATAACTAAGCTCCGCAATAAGATACAAGACTGTTATTTGGTACACAGGATCACATTAGAGAGGGGCATCTGCAGTTAGAAAATTTTTTTTAAAAGTGGGCGTGGTCCCGCTTCTTATAGGTTTAATGTGCATATCTCCTAAACCGCTAATGCTATAATAACAAAATTCACTGGAAGCAAATGTTTTTAGCACTTCTATTGACGGTGTGAAAATAGTTGAAATCGGGTGGCAACTCCGCCCACTCCCCATATAACGGTACTGTTAAAAACTACTAAAAGCGCGATAAATCAAGCACTAAACACGCCAGAGACATTAAATTTTTTCTCTGGGATGGTATGAGATGACTTTTTAGGAAACGCGTTCAAAATTAGACAGTGGGCGTGGCACAGCCCACTTTTAGGTGAAAACCCATATCTTGAGATCTGCTTAACCGATTTCAACCAAATTCGGTGCATAACGTTCTCTTCATATTTCTATGTCATAGTGCGAAAATGGGCGAAATCGGACCACACCCACACCTACTTCCCATATAACACCATTTTAAATTCCATCTGATTCTTTCACTTTCCACTATGCAAATCAGGCAACAATGACTATATCGGGATAAAACTTTGCGTGAATAATGCGGTTAAAGTATGCCACCTTGTGTCCAAAAATTGTCTAAATCGAACCAAAACTGTTTAAGCCCCTAAGTACTAAATATGTGACCCCCAGTGCCTATAGTTGACCTTCTACCGAAACTATCAGTCAATCCACAAAGAAATCTCAAACGAGTATACTATTTGACTTTGCGAGAGTATAAAATGTTCGGTTACATCCGAACTTAGCCCTTCCTTACTTGTTTATACAGATATATTTAGCGAAAACAAGGAAGATGAAGTGGACAACGCGTTTGACGAGCTGTGTGAAGATTTGTACGTTGTCATTAAGTTTCGGAAGGGAGTTGTAAATTTTGTACCAAAATCAATCCATTGGCACGAAGATATTCTAACTTCAACGGATGAAAATCGCTTTCGCCAAATGTTAGGAGTAAATCGACTACAATTTAATCATATTTTAACACTAATTTCAAATGATGAATCATTCACAAAATGAAAGAGTAAACAGTTTTCTGTAGAGCTCGCAACTCGCAATAGTTTTATTCAGATTGGGTTTATCAGGAGAGAGTGCATCGTTTGCAAAAATTGTTTGCTTTTGGAATTGGTGACGGCGGCACCCTTTCTAAAATTTTTTGATTTTTCTCAAAGCTATTAAGCCAATATACCACTGGTCAAATTCTGCAGAAGTAGTGCGAAAAACTTTCAATGAACTGCCGTTTTACTTTTGGTTAAAATTATGCAAATTACTTTTCCAGATGTTATATTGCATATATTTTCTTAAAGCACAAGTAGTTTGTGACTACCAGTTAAAGATTCCCGATGTGGTTGTTGGTTACTGCGGTTCAACTCATTCAAAAATATTTAAAAGTTGTTAATTTTTTTTCAGGACAGAAATGGCTTGCAGGTGATTCTGCATATCCACTTAACAAAATTATAGTCTGATTACTCTTTCACCAAGTAACGAGTACTTTGTCAGAGTTGCCGGCACGGCAAAGTATTATACGTTATACTGGCATTTTGTTAAATTTACAAAAACAAAATATATGTAAAAGTTTACCGAATAAAGAATAATAGATAACAATGTGCGTGTGAAAACCCCTAATAAAAGCAGAAATTAGCACTTACTCAAAAATGCTTTCGTAACGAACAATTGTGTCGTTTGGCATTGATCCAAACATTTCCTCCCACGATGTCGAGGTGGGCAGGCCACAGAACTTTCTGAACTCCATATAACCAGGCAAACCAAATTCACGTCCACGCTGCATGTTAAATGCCACCAAATCCAATCCGTATCGTGCACCCTCTTTTTTGAAGAGATGATTCGTTACCTCCTGTGTAATTGAGTCATCCATCGCTTGCGCCACTTGATTCATCAAACCCATAAAATATTCATCTAGCACACCAGCGCGATATAAGTCATACGGCCGACGAATTAAATCCGATAAACGTTTCGAGGCTATAAATTTATGTGCCTTAGACCAACGTTCCACAGCGGTGGGTAACAAAGAGTGTCCAAAACGGAATGCAGCACCAGCAAAAGCATCAATAATACCAGGATTAATTTTAGAGTCATAACCATCCCAGTAGCCATCTTTCTGTAGCACCAAACCGAATTTCTCCATCACCTCTTTGCCCAACAATATCGGTAAGAACTCGTTATAAGTAACATGTTGCACAATAGCAATATTGATGCGACGTGCTTCTTGGAAAATCGTTTCATCGTCCCAATGCTTATTTATTTGACCTAATGCGGTCGCTATGCGATTATGTTCGCGCGCCATTAATGTGTGCATGCACGTTAGCACCAGCTGCTCGTTCACCCGAATTTCACCTCCTTCAAAGCAAAACATGCTTTTGTTCGGACGGGTGCATCCCTCATCGGGTATGTCCAGCTTCAATGGCAACAAATCTTTAAGCCCATATTCTTGGAAGACGGGGTTCATACGCATTAAACCACCATAGCCGGTACGAAGTTTACGAGCGAATTTTTCCGTAACACCGTATACGGTATTGGCGTCAATCACACCAGTGAGTGTATTGAATTGTTGGCGGGAGCCTGAAAATATAACGTTTTTTAAATTAATTTGTTTGTAAATTAAGTATTTAAAGTAATAATCATTTTGATTTTGATACAGTTTTTAAAGGATTACGTTTTATTTAGATTGTGGAATATTTGCCAAAACAGTCTTCAAACGTGCTCTAGAAATTTACAAGGTAACTCTGTTCTTTCAGGACGTACAAAGCATCAAAATTTCTGTTTGTTTCCTTAAAACTTTTGTTATCTGGAGAATGCTTACCTAATCGACAGCCGGGCCGTGGTGATGGAAAAGCGCGTACAAAGTCAATGCATTTAACATTAAAGAGCCGATAGAAGTAGTCATCGTCTGGAACCCGAATCTCATTGCAATATGGATGCTTAAGGTGTAGTGGACGTTTGCAGCATTCTTCCGGATCATTTCGATTGATTGGATCTGTGAAGAAAGCGAAAATCTATAAAATCTAAAATACTACAAGGATTATGAACACTAAACTCACCCAGCGGTGTACCCGTAAGTGTAAAATCGTGATCCATAAATTGTCCCCAAGCGATCACCATCACAGTACCAGCGTGGTCGTGATAGCCGTCATCTGGATGCATTGTGCGCGAAACAATACGAGAAATTGGTAAATCATGTCCGGTGACTGAAATGCGCGGTGCGTTAATACCATCCGCATATAATGGACCAATTAGACGCTGGAACGGCGCCATGGTGGCACCCCAAGTGGGATGATCAATATTATTGCACAGCCCATCGAAGCGACGATATTTTCCCGGCCGACACTCAACTCCCGCAAAGAAAGGTGGGCACACATCACGAATGAGGGTTTTCGATGTGTCAATAGTGGGCAGACCCTTTTCTATTTCTTCATAAGACAGTCCGTAACTGTAATAAAAAAACGAAAATATTTTGTAATGTTCACATACATATACCTTTGATGTATGTAACATAAAACGCACATTATGCACCTCAATGACATAAAGGGTAAATAATATCAATAGCTAATAAGCAACAAATTACATACCTAATGAATGCAATGGATCAACCTACATAGTACAATAGTACTATTCACTTACTTGCATGGATATGGACAGCTATGGCTAAAGTGGTTAAAACAGTACGCATACTGTATGTATATTTACTTTTCATCAATATAATTTTTGCACAACATTAAACTAATTGGATCCACGATGTAACATAAAAGAACACTGCATATATTTTTCACTGAATCCATTTAATGTCCATAAAATAGAAATTCGTTTGAGCAAAGTTGCGTATTTCAATTAATTACATGTACAATGCCTATACTACACTCTGGTAAATAAGGAGCTTCGGACAAGTTACAAACAAAAATCCCATTAACGAGAAAATATCTGTTTAAAATCATATGTCATAGATGATCCTTGTAGAGCAAAAGTTCATGTTTTGAAACGAATCAAAAGTTAATTTTTTATAATCATTCACATATATGGAGATATTACGCAAGAAAAATACGTACGTATCTTTGACATAGTAATCCTGCGTTAAAATGGCTTTGCTTGGAAGATAAAGATCTAAATCATTCCGAAAAATATACGAAAATTGTTCCCACTTTACGTTTACGTTTTAGCTTAACAATTTCAATCATCTCATTTAAATGCAATTAAGATTTTAGGAAATGCATGTCCTTCTCAGAAGGGCCGCAAGCTTGTAAACCCTTTTCACGAAATATGTTTTTCTTTTGTTTCTATTTTACTGTCGAGCTTAATTACGAGTAGATCATATGAAATGATTATCATACACTTAGTTAAACACATGTTTTATTGTAGACCAATTAACTATTATGCAACAACCATATCAATCAAATCGATGTATGTTTGCTATAGTATGAGCAGACGCGTTGTTTTTAATATTTTGTTCATAGCTGTATGTATTACCAATAATTGCTACTAGTGTTATGAGACGCAATATGTTGCGGCGACAATTTGTCAAAAATTACAGCATATACACATATCAATACAATTCTACTGAAATGCCCCCACATTAATTGATATTTATTATTTTGATTTCAATCAACAACTTTTAAGTCTTCAAGTTAGCGACTAAAGGCCAATCGCTAAACCTTTGTGCTTCTAATTCATGGTAATTTTTTTCGGTGACTCTTTTTGGAAAATGATAATAGCATTGTCCAGCCAAATTATTCTTCCGTTCGAACACACCGAACCGCTGCCTAACTGTAAATGTTGCAAAATTATCAAATTAACCTAGTTTGAAGTGTGGCCGGCGGCTGACCGTTAAGTATAAAGTATGCAATTAACCATAACCTTTTATGGTAATATAAAAAGGAAAAGAGAATACTAAACAGAAAATATGTGTCTTAACCGGCAATACGCGTCATTTGCTAAAAACAAATGCGTTGGGAGTTTAATTGAGAAATTCGACTACTCTACTTACAGTTAATTTTTTATCTTTTACATAAAACTTATTACAGATTAATGAGCAACTGTATTTAGAAAACTCTTTAATAATCAAAGTAGTCCAATATCAATGTGTACAAAAAGTTAACACATGACTTTATTCAAAATGTGCGGGTATAAATTATGGAAAGTTTATTTCAAAACATTTTCGAGCAATTTATGCACTAATTTGTGAGTAACCCAAAAATAAATTTTCAATTTATCTGCTTTATCTACCTTACGAAGTGTGGTACGTTCGATTATCGATATTTTGTTTTTGTTATAGTCGGACATATATGTTTATCAAGTGAATGTATTAGTAGTTTGCTAGGTTAGTCACATTTCTGCTCTTCGATTTTTAACCTTTGAAAGAAACGAATCAAAGAATATGTATTAAAGTTTGCCTTAAAAATGGAATAAAGTTGTTTCAAAAAAGTATTTATAAGTGGTACAAGCGCCTTACAGAATGCCGAGAAGATGTTATGGCGATCGAAACAAATTGTTGTTAAAAATAGTCGAAACACTATTAGGGAAATTGTAGAGAATGTTGGCATATCATTAAATTTTCTCGAATGTTTTGGGCATGAAACGTGTGGCAGCGAAGTTTGTTCCGAAATTGCTAAATTTTGAGCAAAAGCATTGTGGCAGTAGTACCGCTCAGGAGGCCAAAAAGAAAACCATAATCATGCCTCAACCACCGTATTCACCAGATTTTTCTCCTTGCTATTTTTCTCTATTTTCAAAACTACAGAAACCAATGAAAGAAAATCGTTTTGCCACAATTGATAAGATCAAGTCAGAATCGAAGAAAGAGCTGATGGCCAAACCGAAAAGCGCATTTCAGAAATGATTCGACGATTGGAAAAAGCGTTGGTACAAGTTTATTATATCCAAGGGGACTACTTTGAAGGGGACAATATAGATATTGATGAATAAATCAGTCCTTTCAAAAAAATTCAAAATTCACCTTTTCCTTCAAACACACCTCGTATATATCAAATTTGAACAATCTAATCTTATTTTCTGGTGCATGCATCCAAACAATTAAATTTATACCCAAATACTGCCATATGACACGTTTAGAGGATGACATGTTTAATTTTTTTTTTATACCTTACGATGATATTCTACCATACCAGAAGTTTGGTAGACAAAGCCAGAATTCTCTAATAACATTATACGATAGATTTATAATGAATTGAATATATTTATGCACAAAAATTTCGTTTTTGTTCATGTTCTTAGTAATTAATTTGTAAGAATACTGATCACTATGAAGATCTGCGAATAAATATACTACTTACGTCCTCGCTAACTGTATCGAAATGTCCAGCAGCAGCTCACCGACTGTAGCCAATTCTTCAGTTTTCCAATCACCTTTCGGCTGCGCCACATCTGAAGTTCCAAAAATATTTTACTATATACATATATATATATTATATGTATATATATCTTCTAGAATCACACTTTTTTACATACGTGTAATCTTATCATATGTTAACTAAAATTGGTGCAAAAAAAATCGTAATGATTTAAAAACAAGAAAAAACATTAACTTCGGTTTCACCGAAGCTATAATACCCTTCACAGATACAAATGTTCCTTACAATACCTTGATTCAGATCTAATTACGTGAATCGGCAAAAAAAAATAAAAATTTTTTCCATGCAGGCGCTTTACTCCGATCGATCAGTTTATATGATTGCTATATAGTGATCCGATCTAAACAATTTCTTCGGAGATTTCATTGTTGCCTTAAATAATAATTCATGCCAAATTTCGGAAAAATACCTCGTCAAATGAAAGAGTTTTCCATACAAGGACTTTACTCCGATTGTTCAGTTAATATGGTTGCTATATGTTATAGTCATCCGATCTGTTCAAGGTTTTCGGAGATTACGTTGTTGCTTCGAACAATAACTCATGCCTAATTTCGTGAAGATACCTCGTCAAATGAAAAAGTTTTCCATACAAGATCCGATCGTTCAGTTTGTATGGCAGCTATATGCTATACTCATACGATCAAAACAATTTCTTCGGGAATTACATTGTTACCTTAGGAAATAACTCATGTCAAATTTCGTGAAGATATTACGTCAAATAAAAAAGTTTCCTATTCAAGGACTTGCTTTTGATTGTTCAGTTTGTATGGCAGCTATATGCTACAGTGGTCCGATATCGGCCGTTCCGACAAATGAACAGCTTCTTAGTGAGAAAAAGACAGGGACAAAATTTCAGATCGATAGCTTAATGGTCTTAATAATTAATAAAAAACTGATCATTAATTAATATAAAATAAAACTGAATCAATGAATGTGTTGCTAAACGCAAATTTCGAGAACAGCTTAGCCGATTTCGAATACATATTGCTTAAAGTACGAGGTGGTTCCTACACACAGAAAAATTTAAAAAAATGTCTGAAAAAGACCAAAAACAACATTTTCCTATACTCTCATATATACACATTCGTAATATATTATAATATTATATCTTAACATACAATAGTATTATATAAAACAAAATCGCTTTCTCTGTCCCTATATCCCTATGTATGCTTAAATCTTTAAAACTGCGCAACGGATTTTGATGCGTTTTTTTATACTCTCGCAACCTGTTGCTACAGAGTATAATAGTTTTGTTCAACTAACGGTTGTTTCTATCACCTAAAACTAATCGAGTTAGATATAGGGTTATATATATATAAATGATCAGGATGAAGAGACGAGTTGAAATCCGGGTGACTGTCTGTCCGTCCGTCCGTCTGTCCGTCCGTCTGTCCGTCCGTCCGTGCAAGCTCTAACTTGAGTAAAAATTGAGATATCTTTATGAAACTTGGTAGACATGTTTCATGGTACCGTGAGACGGTTGGTATTGCAGATGGGCGTAATCGGACCACTGCCACGCCCACAAAACGCCATTAATCAAAAACAAATAACTTGCCATAACTAAGCTCCGCAATAAGATACAAGACTGTTATTTGGTACACAGGATCATATTAGGGAGGGGCATCTGCAGTTAAAATTTTTTTTAAAAAAGTAGGCGTGGTCCCGCCTCTAATAGGATTAATGTGCATATCTCCTAAACCGCTAATGCTATAATAACAAAATTCACTGGAAGCAAATATTTTTAGCACTTCTATTGACGGTGTGAAAATAGTTGAAATCGGGTGGCAACTCCGCCCACTCCCCATATAACGGTACTGTTAAAAACTACTAAAAGCGCGATAAATCAAGCACTAAACACGCCAGAGTCATTAAATTTTATCTCTGGGATGGTATGAGATGACTTTATAGGAACCGCGTTCAAAATTAGACAGTGGGCGTGGCACAGCCCACTTTTAGGTGAAAACCCATATCTTGAGATCTGATTAACCGATTTCAACCAAATTCGGTGCATAACGTTCTTTTTATGTTTCTATGTCACAGTGCAAAAATGGACGAAATCGGACTACAACCACGCCTACTTTCCATATAACACCATTTTAAATTCCATCTGATTATTTCACTTTCCACTATGCAAATCAGGCAACAATGACTGTATCGGGATAAAACTTTGCGTGAATAATGCGATTAAAGTATGCCACCTTGTGGCCAAAAATTGTCTAAATCGAACCAAAACTGTTTAAGCCCCTAAGTACTAAATATGTGGACCCCAGTGCCTATAGTTGACCTTCTACCGAAAATATCAGCCAATCCACAAAGAAATCTCAAACGAGTATACTATTTGACTTTGCGAGAGTATAAAATGTTCGGTTACATCCGAACTTAGCCCTTCCTTACTTGTTTTTTAATATAATAGTATAATAACATCCATTAAATAGTGTAGAAATGCTGTTTTTTTTTTGAGGTTTCTAATTTGATGACGTAAATAATTAAATTTTTTCTGCTTACCTTGTAAATGCAGGCTGAAGCCTACGAGATTTATCAAAGTAATGTATTAAGTATTGTACACATTGAAAAGGTCTATAGAAAACTACACGAACTACTAACATTTTTTTGTCATTTACTTTTTACGACAAATAATGGCTAATTTTCAAAGCGATTTCAATCAATACAGCAGTAATCCTTATTCAATTAATACCTTAAATACATTGTTAATTTAATACATAATAGGCATATACATATGGCCCTTTATAGCATATGATTTAAATGAATATTTACGAAGATGTTATAGTTTTAAAAATTGCGGGATGTAGCGTTTGCGGCGGTTTTATTATCGGAGCTCTCTAGCGAGGAAAATAACAATACTTCCTAAAATCGTAGTTTAAGTTTAGGTATTTCAGTTAAAAAAAAGAACTGAATAGAATAGGTGTCTGATGACAGAGAGAGAGAGAGAATCTTCAGAAGAGCGTGAGGTTCGCCACAGCCGAGATAGGGATAGACACCGAATACATAGAGCCAGAAAATCATTAGCAGGAGTTACTAATTCATGGGAAATAAAGAAAATTCTGCCATGAATTACGATCCTTCGATTTCTTACAAAGACGATCGTATAGTATCAATAGGTACTCTGTCAGTAGTGCGTGAATATTGCTTGGCATTGAAATTCAAAGACGAATCGAAAGGCATGTGTTGCTTACAAGGAAAAGTCAAATGAGAAGAAATTCTCCCTCCACTTGAACCACTTCACTCTCTTCTTACGGGTGATCATCAGTAATCCAAACAATTCATGCGCAATATACGCTGTTATAATGACGTATTTCAAATGACCTCTTTTAAGAGCAAGCAAGTTGTTGAGCGTGGGCTCATGCCTACATTTAAAATTCAATGGCAAGTGTACTACATAGCTGGAGCTTCTTGCTACCACTTCGTCCCGATGATCACAAATTTCTGCAAATATATTTTATTGCAGATCCAGATACAGAAGCATCTATGCGGTGTTCAAGTGTTGCACAGCCAATTGACAGAGGTTTGATTAGATCTCTTCAATATATGTTACATTCTCATAACTGCTACATACAGTATTTCAAAACTGCGATTGAGAGTGTTCCAGCAGATACTCCTGACTTTAATGTCGTAATCCAAGCAAATAAAGTTCCCATTGGAGAACACAAAGGACGATACAATTCCACGAGTGAAGTAGCACTGGTGATAGCTGGACAGAATTTTGACAAAGGAGATATTGTATTGCATAGTCGTGATGATAATTTGCAAAAAAATTCAGAGTTACACAGATCTTATGACAGCTTACAATATCCTTTGGTGCTGTGCCGTGGGGAAAATGGTTATGCCATTAATATTTCTCAAGTTGACCCAATCGGTAGTACACCTCTCTGTAAATCAATATCATGTATGAACTACTATTGCTACCGTATAACGACAAGACGTAACAATTTCAATACTTTCTTTGGATATGGAATGTTAACAAACCAATACTTGGTAGATCAGTATGCGAAAATTGAATTTGAGAGATTGGCCTACATCCGTAATAATCAAACTAAATTGAGAGCCGAAAACTACGTTCATTTTCAGGATGCTTTACAGGTGAATGAACACCGCAACGGTATTGGGCAGTTGGTTATACTACCATCATCATTCATAGGTGGACCTCGATATTTACACGAAAACTCGCAAGACGCCATGACTTACGTCAGAAATTACGGCAAACCTGATTGATTTATAACTGCAACATGTAACCCAAATTGGTCGGAAATCAAAGAAAATACTAACACCAATTTAACTCCACAAGACAGATACGATATAGTTAACAGAGTCTTCCATTTAAAAGCACAGAAACTCCTGCACCTCGTTAACAAGTCTCATATATTCGGTCCGCCGCGCTGTCATACTTGTATGTTCACAATGGAATGGTAGAAACGTGGCAACAAAATTAGACCAAACCAAATTGACAGGCTTATTTCAGCTGAACTACCGGATAAAGATGAAGATCCTATCCTGTACGAAATCGTAATGAAACATACGGTACACGGCCCTTGCGGTACTTTAAATCCGAGTTCTCCATGTATGCGAAATTCTAAATACAACAAAAAATTTCCAAAGTCGTTCCCAACTCAAACAAGTACTAGCGATGACGAATATCTACAAGCAATATCGTCGACGATCGCCAGAACAGGGTGGGCAAAATGCTACCGTCCGAAACCATGATATTGATAACCGATGTATCGGTCCCTATAATCCGCTCCTTTTGAAAGTTTCATAAAGTCAATTCAATAAGTTTCTAAGTACATTATTAAGACAGTGACCAAGCCACTTTCAGCATACAATCACCAAATGAAGTGGAAAAATATCCCTGAGAACAATATACAGGAAGTTGTTAATAATCGGCTGGATACAACATTGACAGCATTCTTCAAGTTATGTGCTCAAGATTATTTAGCAAAGATATTGAAATATGACAGAGTTCCAAGTTACAATACATGGAACCAGAGTTCTTAAAACTTTTCAACGGCGAAAACAAGGTACTGCAGTTTATGGTTTCCCCGGAGTAAAAAAAAACAGATGCTTTTGGCAGAGTCTACGTGATTCATCCCAACAACAGCGAATGCTTTTATCTAAGAATGTTACTGCATATTGTAAAAGGCCCGACATCCTTCGCACACCTAAGAACTGTACAAGTTGTTGTTTACAATATTTATCAAGCAGCATGCATGCAAAGCTATCGGGCGATTCAAGTTATTTACCTTGGCTCCTTGTTCATTAGTTGGTGACAGAATCGCTCTTTCTTTAAACCAACATATTGTCTTATAACTTATGTTATCAATGTCAGGATAGACCTTGTTGACAAACTCTCGGATGTTGTCTATCAAACACTAACTCTTCTTCTAGGGTAATCCTTTCCTCCGTTGCCAACTTTTAGCAGCACCTCTGGAAATAGTCTGTTCTCACGTGAAGATGACGAACCCCGAATTTATTGGCATGTGGCCAAAGGTTGGATTTTTTTAGGAAGGCATTTATTTCGTCAGCCCGTGTTCCTCAAGTCACAACGGAAATCTCCTGAGAACAGAATTGTACATCCACCCATAGGTGAATTTTTGTTGCGCAAATCGCGCATTGTCCTTTCAAGAGCTTCCACAGACGTCTTGTTTGACATGTTAGCTTCGTCCCAGACTATTAATAAGCAGTCACGCATCAATTTTCCTGTATTGCTCTGTTAAGAAACACTACAGACACTGTTATTATCATCGGTAGCGATTTTCAGCGGGAGCTTGAATGTAGCTATCACCAGTGCTACTTCACTCGTGGAAGGCGCATTGTATCGTCCTCTAGGTTGTCCAACAGGAACTTTATTTGCTTGGATTACGACATTAAAGTCAGGAGTATCTGCTGGAACACTCACAATCGCAGTTTTGAAAGACTGTATGTAGCAATTATGAGAATGTAACATATATTGAAGAGATCTGAAGAGATGAACACCGCATAGATGCTTGTGTATCTGGATCTGCAATAAAATATATTTGCAGAAATTTGTGATCATCGGGACGAAGTGGTAGCAAGCTCCAGCTAAGTGGTACATTTGCCCTTGAATTTTAAATGTAAGCATGAGCCCACGCTCAACAACTTGCTTATTCTTAAAAGAGGTCATTTGAAATGCGTTATTATAACGGCGTATATTGCGCATGAATTGTTTGGATTTCTGATAATCACCCGTAAAAATAGAGTGAAGTCGTTCAAGTGGAGGGAGAATTTCTTCTAATTTGACTTTTCCTTGTAAGCAACACATGCCTTTCGATTCGTCTTTGAATTTCAATGTCAAACAATGGTCACGCACTACTGACATAGTACGTATTGATACTATACGAGCGTCTTTGTAATAAATCGAAGGATCGTAATGCATGGCAGAATTTTCTTTATTTACCCATGAATTAGTAACCCGTGCTAATGACTCTTTGGCTCTATGTATTCGACGTCTATCCCTATCTCAGATGCGGCGAATCTCACGCTCTTCTAAATATTCTCTCTCTCTCTCTCTCTCTCTCTCTCAGCTCTATATCTATCCCGAGCCTGGCTGAGACGAGCCTCACGTTCCATTGACGATTCTTTATCTCTTGCTAAACGTACTCTTCTGGCATTCACTGTAGTACGAACTATGTTCGAACGACGACGTCTTCCAGACATGGCTTTATAATTTCTGTACAAAATTTACTCAGTTCTAAATGTATGTACCTATGCACAATCATAAAAAACAAAAGACACCTATTTTATTCATTTCTTTTTTTTAACTGAAGTACCTAAACTTAAACTACGATTTTAGGAAGTATTGTTTTTTTCCTCGCTAGAGAACTCCGATAATAAAACCGCCGCAAACGCTACATCCCGCAATTTTTAAATCTATAACATCTTCGTAAATATTCATTTAAATCATATGCTATAAAGGGACACACAGAGCTATTATATATTAAATTAACAATGTGTTTAAGGTATTTAATTGGATAAGGATTACTGCTGTATTGATTAAAATCGCTTCGAAAATTAGTCATTATTTGTCGTAAAAAGTAAATGAAAAAAAATGTTATTGTGCGATATCCATAAGAGATAGACATACATATATTATATATCGCAGAGATTTGTGTAGACCTTTTCAATGTGTACAATATTTAGTACATTATTTTGATAAATCTCATAGGGTTCAGCCTGCGTTTGCAATGTAAGCGGAAAAAATGTAATTATTTTCGACATCAAATTAGAAGCCTCAAAAAAAATAGTATTTCTACAATATTTAATGGATGTTTTACAAACCTTCCTCTTGAATCACTGTATCTATTAAAAAAAAACCACACCAAAATCCGTTGCGTAGTTTTAAAGATTTAAACATACATAGAGATATAGGGACAGAGAAAGGACTTTGTTTTATTATATACTAAGTATTGATCTAGGACGTAAAACAAAATATAGTAATGAAACTAAGTAAATCTACGATATATAAGTTATTATAATGGATTGTTATCTATTCAGTTTCTTCGAAAAATGCATGTTGAGTCCTTACGCAACATTTTTTAATATAAAGTTTTGCAGCACTTGAAAGTATTTTTCCTTTAAAAAGATCAAATTAAATTACGAGATTATAAAATATTCGATTACACTTAGGTCTTTTTTACTTGTTTATATAGTTATTTTACAAAATATAAATAATATTTATCGGTTTAGTAAAAAAATATTATACAAGTTATTGTTGTTTGCGGTACGTAACGCTAATCGAGATCGGTTAACAAATTAATTTCCGGTGTTTTTATACCAAAGTCCCAATTTCGAAGTAAAAACAATGGGATTACAACTATATCTACCAACTTTGAACTATTTTGAATTCTATTAGTTTATGGTGTTTTGAATTAAAATAGATAATTAATAAATAGATAGAAAAATTATTTTCTCTATCCCCCAACTCCGGTGTTAATAGCTCTTCGTATACGAATATTACATATGTATGAATACAAATATGTGGGAGTGTTAATGATTACAATTTGTTTAGGTACGATACATACGAATTCGCTTTCGAGCGTCCAAATAGGCGGCGTTCACTGCATCATAAGTTATGCAGGTGCTTTCTGCTGTGTAGGGATTTCTGCAAAATAGTTCAAATAAATAATTAGAACTGAATTAAAATCATTGTTACAAATACATATACATATGTACACATATATCCAAATGTGCGTATCTGGGGTATAGTATATGCCAACAGTTTCTAAGTAAAATTAAATCTATCGAGGGCGTTAAAATACGCACATTCTTTCATTCATCACCCAATATATATAGCCTCAATACATCATCGCCAACGAACAAATCGACTAATAATTGCATTTCATCACACACTTTAGTAACCCACTTTGTCTATTCTTTATTATCCAATCAACTTGTTGCGCGCTTATCGTTTAATGCCACTCTCGGCGGCCGCAGCATAAAAACGGCGTAAAACACATCATAGTTATCATATGAGCGAAGGTATAGGCGAAAACAACCAAATACAGACAACTGAAGAAAATATAAACTACGACAGGACATATACAAATGTACACATCCATGCGCCGTGTCCTCGTTTTGTAGAGCAAACAAAGAGAAGGACTGCAAGGAAACTGATAATCACATTATTGCCGTTCGAAGGCGTAAATGCCATTACTGGCATATGAAGCAAGTCGTTAAGCAATACATTGCACTATTGCGTAAAAGTCCCGTAATCCTGATCACAGTAGTCATTTAGTATTGTAGCGCTGCGGTTGTATCGCTGTCTAGTGTTTATGTGCGAAATGTTTTGCGGTAAAGTCGAGGCGAATTTGAAGTTGCAGCAGTTGGCAGTGAAATGCAAGGAAAAGTGCCTGGATCCGAAAGCATTCAGTTGTGTACAGAAAGTTTTGTGTAAAAATGAAAACAAAAATGCGAGTATACGATGGAAATTGTTAAAATTTTGCTTAATTTTTATTCTATCGGTTTATGGATATAACTATTTCTGCAGGGAAATGTCATCAAAGGTATGCCGAAGTCTTGGGTAGGCAATGTAATTCCCGGTATGTTCATTACGTTGCTTGTATTATTTCAAACCAAGGATACGTGGATACTTTTCTTAAAGAATAAGTTTACATATGTTGATGAAATCGTCACACTACCAGAGAAGAACGTGACACTTGTATCTTAATTCAATATGGCATAAAACCGATAATATGGCATAGAATAGCAGTTCAGGGCGTGAAATTGGAAAGTAACTTTCATAAATCACACTCAAGTAAATTAATTAGTAGCACCCTTCGTAGGAAAGTACTTAGTAAGTCCTAGTAGAATTTGAATTTATAACGTCCACACATAAATGCTCCTCTAGGAATAATATGTTAAGACGTTAGCGTTTTTCTAGTACAGTCTTTTATTTACGAAATTAGAAACAAATTGAATTTCACCGCGTTTATTATCTCCGTCAAATAAAATTCACTCTCTACAGGTTAAAAGAAAATGGTATATTATTTTAAGAATTACATTCTCGATATTGATAATAATGTTAATTCCGAAAAAAAACAAGAAAAAACGTTAACTTCGGTTGCGCCGAAGCTATAATACCCTTCCCAAATACAAAGGCCCCTTACAAGAACTTGATTCCGAACGTTCAATTTGTATGGCAGCTATATGATATAGTGATCTGATCTGACCAATTTCTGTGGAGAATAATTTGTTGCCTTAAGCAATAACTCGTGCCTAATTTCGTGAAGATACCTCGTCAAATAAAAGAGTTTTCCATACAAACACTTGATTCCGATTGTTCAGTTTGTATGGCAGCTATATGCTATAGTGGTCCGATATCGGCCGTTCCGACAAATGAGCAGCTTCTTGGTAAGGAAAAGACTTGTTCAAAATTTCAGATCGATATCTCAAAAACTGAGGGACTAGTTCGAGTATATACAGACGGGCGGACGGACGGACAGACGGACAAGGTTAAATCAACTCAGCTCGTCACAGTGATCATTTATATATATACTTTATATGGTCCCCGCCGTTTCCTTCTGGGTGTTACAAACTTCGTGGCAAACTTGATATACCCTGTTCAGGGTATAATTAATGTGCAAAGAAAAACACAAACTTTTATACTCTCGCAACTTATTGTACAGAGTATAATGGTTTATTCAACCAATTGTTGTTCGGAACAAACGAAGAGATTTCTGGATACCTGAATGTTCGTTCGTGCATATGCCCATGCAAACATTAATTTGAATAAACACACAAATCGGTACAGGTGTTTCTTGCAAAATAGCGTTAACAGAAATGTTATAACAAAGTCCTAAATCATGCCACAAAATTAATTTGGTACTGGGTATCACGGAGGCGAGGACACTGGTGGTTTAAAGGTTTTTTATAAACTGAACGTGGAGTCGCCACATCATACACATGTCTCTTGGCATCATAAGAAAGTAGGTATAGCAGATTAGCGGAATGCCATTGCCATGTCCACAAAATGCCGTTAATCGAAAAGTTGTAAAGAACTATAACGAAGCAACCAGTAAGGAAGGGCTAAGTGCTGGTGTTACCGAACATTTTTTACTCTCACAATTTTCAAACATCAAAGGCGCAGAAATACTTTCAAATGTTGCCAAACTACGAATTTATAATTTATAACGACTTATTGTATAGTCGCAGGCTCACTTACTTTCATTTTATGTATGTATGTATAGTAATGTCTGCCTTACATGAAATAAAATATGTGATATAAACCCAACCAAAATGGCTAAATTGTATTGGGTATATGAGGAAAGCATCAACTAGAGGATCGAAAATCATTATATAAGGGATATGAGGTTTAGACCTATTTCATTCATATTCAGCGTCAAAGCTCATTACTTTTAGAAATGGATGGAAACCGCTATATCGCGTATATCGGGCTAGGGGACGATCCGAACTGATTGCATTAACGTTTGGTATTACTGAAGTATACTCATGGTTTCATGCTATTTTGTGAAAATAATTCTCATACGACCGACATATTAGGCATACATTTGCTAAACTAACGAAAATTGTGGGAGCTGAAGTAATTCGTGAACCCTCTTCCACACATCTTCGTTATTAAACTATAGTATATCCAATATTATGCATTCACTTAATTTTGATAAGATACCTCACAGATTACCAATATAAAAGTATGTAATATAAAACCAAGCGGATGTCTGAAAATCCGTATATTAGGTATATGGGAGCTAAAGGAAATATTGCCCCAATTTTGAAGCCGTCATACGTATTTATTGAATTATGGAACTTCTAGTAGTTTTCAAAAGAATTATTATATGGGGAGTGGACATGGTTATTACACGATTTTACCCATTTTCACTGTAGAAGAGGAGATGTCAAAAAGATTTGCTCTGGGCGAATTTGGTTATTATAGATTTAGTGGTATGTGTGACATGTACATTAAACTTTTTAGAGGGCGAGGTCTGACCACTTTTAGAAAGCTTTCTACACACAAATACCTCTTCCTACTATGATTCTCTGTACCAGATTTTAGTTTTGTATCTTAGTTTTCGACTTAGTTGCGCGTTTTATACGTTTTCGATACAACACCAACTTCTCTTTGGTGCCGAGGAACACGTGTATTAAGTCATAACGATGTCTCAATTTTTACTCAAGTTATTGCTAGCATGGACGGGTATACATCCAGTCACCCGGAATTCAACTCGAGTCGACATCATGAAAATTTTCATATACATATATGTGTGTATGTATATAACTCAATATTTATATCGATAGATTTCAAGTGTTACAAACAACCGTTAGGTAATCAAAACTTGTATCCTCTGTAGCAGCATGTTGCGAGAGTATAAAAACTGTAATTTGGTAAGGGTCATTGAAGTATGGAGGATGTAATCATTTTTAAAAAGTGAATAAATATTATCCATACTGTTTGTAGAATCATAGTATTTAGCTGGTTACAAATCCTGGTCCGTGGTCAATTCATGGATTCGAGCCACAATTTTCGAACATACGCCGCACAACTTAAGAAGATGATTCTATTTATTATGAAAGCCAGAACAATAAATCAACTAATGCGATCACCTTATATAAATTTAATAATCTGATTTTCATATATGTATGTATGTATCATTATTGTAGCGCTGCCTACTGGAGTTGCCAAGAACACTTCGATATGCTTTTCGACCTTCTGAAGACTGCAGCTTTTGTAAAAAAATAGAAAATGCAATTCGTTTACGTGGAATAACAAGTGAGGAATTCGCATCGAGATATGCCAATGGGGGAGGGCCAGTCATAGTGGAGGATGCTACAAGAAATTGGACAGCACCAATTGTAAGTAGGTTATTTACGGTTAGGGAAAGTATTTTCTCAGATATTTATGTTTTTTACTATTTCAAATATTACTCACTTATTTCAAATGAAAATTGTATTCTCTTGCAGAAATTCAATTACTGGTACTTCCGCGACATTTATTCCAATGCAAAACGCAAACAAAAAATACTTGATTGTCAGTTTCTACCCTACCAGACAGGCTTCAAGAACCTTTACAAAGCTTTGGATATGCCTAAAGAGCGCGTGGAGTTAAAGCCTGGCTATCAGCCGTGGTATTTTGGCTGGAGTAATTGTAATCCTGAGACAGCTGAAGAATTCCGTAAGCATTATGGGCGTCCCTACTTTCTTCCACCCACAGCCGAAAACCACGCGGTAGATTGGTTCTTCATCGGCACAGCTGGACTGGGTGCACACATGCATGTAAGTATGAATGAAGCAAGTTGTAATTAGTATTTTAATGCACTTGCCGCAGATCGACAATGTACGTTTACCATCGTGGCAAGCCCAGCTGTCGGGCAGCAAACGTTGGCTACTCGCTCCACCACCGGAGTGCTACTTCAAATGTAAACGCTTCGACACAATCGTTCGAAAGGGGGACATAAGTAAGTTTTGTATATTTTGCTAGCTCACGGTATATTTTAACAATTAAATAACTTCTCAGTTGTTTTGGATACCAATAAGTGGTACCACCAGACGTTTGTGCAGCCGGGGGAAGTCAGTCTTACCATTGGCGCTGAGTATGACTAAGTAATATCGAAAGTTCCATGTAAACATTCTCTTGAAACAAAGCTTGATATTAAGTGACGTTAATTTCATTTATATTATTTTTAAGTTAAATTTTATATATATTAAATTTAAGTTAAAAAAAATAACTGAAAAATAAACAAAGACCTCCTACATACTGTCACAAAGTCATATCAAGCTTCTTATAAAAAGTTTCTGTTTTGAAATTGACTCGATTATTTTACGAATGGAAGAACCAATAATAACATAATAGTGATATATATATGATGGTTTATGTGCAGCCACACTCAGTTATACATTTGACCCTTTTAATTTCTTGCAACCAAAATTATAAGATATTTTTAAGTCTTTAAACTCATTCGGATTTTATTTATTTGATTTAAGTTCAGACTACTTCTTGTAAGAATTAATACAGAAACAGAAGCGGAAATACTTGTATACCTCATTAGATATAGCGCTGCCCATTTCAATACTTAAAATCAACAGAATAGGACACCAGAGGTCGATTGAACTCATTAAAGCAATGTTCATCTTGCATAAGTTAGAGGGCTTTGAAATTATTGTCAAAGCTGTCTGGAAGGAACAGAAGTAGAAGCATTTTTGGCTATATTGAAGTGGAAATATCTTGGATGGCATACTTTCAATCAACTGGACGAGTTGGTTGAAATTAAAATTAGGCCAAAGTGCTTTGTCGATATATTTCTTGATGCATGCTTAGAAGTATTTTGGCAAACTGTCGACTCAACTGGCGAGTTTCAATTATCTCAATGAAATAAATGAGATCTCCATCGATTTTAATTCGAAAGCCTTGTGCGAATCAACAGTTTTACGTTACCAGTGATGTATATCCGTACCTTGCTTGGAGACCAAGCTTCAGGGAAAGATGAATTGCCAAAAAGTTGAGTTAATTTATCAATAGTAGTAGTGAGAGTATCACTCTCTCTTTACATGATATTTGATGAGCAAAGCCTGCAATTCGGTATAACCTCTTATTACCTCTGACATTGAAGCTCTCATATTATGTCTATATTATAGAGCGCGCATAAATTTAATACCTCTACAGGACTTAAGCAATATATTATGAATAATATTTGCTTAAAAAATTGTATTAATAGAATACGTGATAATCATATTGACTTTTTATTCACATTACGTTTCGATTACGAACTAGTTTTAGCCTCCTCAATTACGACATTTTTGCCAGGTGCGCATTGAACTTTATTTAGTGCAATTTTATATCAGTACCCAGTCCCTAAATCAATTTGAGTATCTGTAAATAAAAAAAGAAAAACTAGCTGGAGATTTCAACATAAATGGTGTCGGCTGATTGAAGGTGACTTGAAATGTTGTTTAACAACTAGCCATTGATTTTGGATCAAGAGTATTTATTTTTCGTGTCTGCAAGGCAACATTTTTGCGCTGTCACATTAAAATTAAATATATACATATGTACATATCTCATCACACGAAGAAAGCCATCTTACTTATCCTATGTATAGCAATCAGGTGAAAGAAAAGCAATATTACAACGCTCGTTTTCGGTAATCCCAAAGTTACGTATTTCATTGCGTAAATAGATCCTCGCTGCTTGGTCTAGGCCTTGTTGGTATATAACTGGTTATTTCTAAAGAGGCACATGACAACACTTGGCAAAGTTAGAGAAAATTTAAAACGGCCAAAGTCGGCAATAAAAATTGGCCAGTAACTTGTTGAATTAAATTTTAGCGCATGCCTCACGCGTTTTGTTGTCCCAGTCAACGGTGTAATTACTATAATGTGGTCCATAAATGTGCGGTGCGAAGCCAAATTGGTAGTTGTGTGTCGATATGCATACATATACGAGTAAATACTTGTATGTATGTTTCATAATATATTTTGTTACTGTTAGCTTGTAATAGTAATTGGATAACGCGATTGCATATGCAACAGATTGTGATGAGACCGAACACCAATTATGTTGGCTTGTATTTAGGTAAACTTCATAATACTGTGGGCGTCCAGTAAACGAACTTTCGAAATGACGGATTTTCGGTTCAACGAACCATCAAATTTATCTTATTGATGTTTCTAAATTACGAACGCAAAGAATTTTAAGTATACGATAATGCGATCATTTCTATATATTTGGTTGGCAACTAAGTAATTGCGTATTTTTTTTTTAAATCAAAGACAATTTTTTCATGGAACTAAATAACTTTATTCTGTAATGTATTGCCCATTTTGATCAATGACCTTTTGTCATCTTTCAGGCAGCATCATAATCCCACGTTCATAAAACTTCTGGTTCATTCGTTTTAAAAATAGATCATTTTCACTACGTTTCTTTAGCAAATCGCAGCTGTTAATGCGTTGAGTTAAATGCGTTTCTTTCAGTTCGTGAGGAACCCATGTATCGAGTTTTTGAACATAGCCAAGTTGTTTTAAGTGATTTTCAATGCATGTATGTGATACCTGAAGCTTCTCTGCAATCTCACGTGTTGTACTGTGACGATCCGAATCGATTATTGCTTTGATTAGGTCGTCATCAACTTCAACTGGACGACCAGAGCGTTTTTCTTCTTTGAGTGAAAAATCACCAGAACGAAATTTGGCAAACCAATTTTGACTGGACACAGCACATAACTTTTTGTGAGCTTGCGATGCGTTTTTCCCTTTGCGAAAATAAAATAGCAAAATACTTGTATGACGAAAATGTTCCTTTTGATCTTCCATTTTTCAACGAACGCCAACGAAAACTACGCAACCGATCAAAAACTTTTATTTACTGATGGACAGCTGAATTGCCAACTATCAGATAACAAAATGTGTTTTATATTTAGACTACGCCAGCAAACCTAAAAATTCAGCCATCTATGAGTGAAATCCGCAATTACTTAGTTGCCAACCCAATATTTATCTTGAACTTCGCCAGTTGAATAACATTTACAGAAAATATATGTTAATTTTTTTCAATTTAATTCAGTGAGTCAAAATACTTTTTTCGTGCGGTTGTTTGTATTTCATTGGTATAGAAAATGCAATGTCAAATAGAAAGCGTTTATCATTGGTAAATAAAATAATTGGAAATAAAGATCTTTGACGATTCCACCAAAATGCTTTTAGTTAAATAAATTTTTAACCTTAATTTTCGTCGTCGGTTTTTACCATAAGAAAATAATATTTAACATTGAGGAATAAGTTCTAAAAATGCATCGCACGAAATTAGTATAAAAGTCAATTAAACAAAGTGAATTTCCTAGAATGGAGCAAACCCTCTACAAATGGTTTATGACTTAGTCGAAACCAAATTCTTTTTAGTGGTGCCGTTAAATAATGGCAAAGATGTTTCATTCCAAGTTCTACGAGGATTTTTTTGCCGGTGATGGTTGGATTGGTTAAATTCAAAAAACGCATCAGAATATGTCTTCTTAAAAAATGAGGTAAAAAGTTGCATCTAATGTAAATAGCGTTTAGTCATTTATAAACAAGCTAAGGAACATAATAAAAAATAATAACCTGCAAAATCATACGTTCTTCCTGATGAAACATATGCACCAGGAAGAAAGAGCACCAAAGAAAGGTTAACAGTGCCGTCGACTGAAAAACTATGCCCAGGGGTAAGAATGTGGAGCTCCCTCCCTACAGGAATGATTCTAATACTTAATAAACGTTATTAACTATCTTCCCATTTACTACTTCAACGCATTCGAAGAATAATTCAAATACGATGTAGTGTTCTATGCTCTCATCAAATGTGTATTCTATTTGCTTTCTTGTTGGTGTCGAGTGGAACATATTTGTTTTGTACGATTGTGTAAATCAATAATATTATATTTCATCCGTTGATACATAAACTTTTTACAAAAATATTGTTTCAGGTTATACCGGAATATACGAATATAAGGATAGCAAGACTTGGCAGTTAAAAAGAAGACAGAAAAGTTGCATTAAAACTTAATTAATTAATTTGTCGATCTAATTAATGAAACAAGTAAGGAAGAGCTAAGTACGGGTGTAAGCGAACATTCTATACTCTTGCAACTTGCAAGGATTAAAGCAGGGAATTTACCTTCAGGTGTTAGAAAAATAATTGAATTGAAATTCATTAATTCAACATTCATTATTCGATGAAATTGTAAATGGATTACAATCAAATTTGGTATATTATAAAGTTATATTATAGGTCATATACTCAATTAGTTTTCTTACTATATATTACTTCCCGTCAGCTTAAATTGTTTTAAAATCATCTTCAAATGGGATATATAATATATTCAACTGAAGAAGCTAATTTTAATATTATATATTGAGTTGATATGAAAACGTCAACCAAAGGTTCGCAATTCATTATTTTAGGAATTAAAGCATCACACATTTTGTCATTGCTGAGGTATAATTGAGATCATAGTTTCAAACAATTCTATAAATATTTAACTCGAACGACATGTTCGGCATAACGTTTGATAAAATAACGAAAAACTTTATTTATTTCTGCCAATACAACTTACTATTAACAGAAAAAAATGTTCCCTGAGTTTTATTACAGTACCTCACACACCGTCACCAACATACAAGTATATGAAGTAAAATCAACCGGATATTTGAAAAATCTTTGATTAGTTATATGAGGTCAGGAAAAGTTTTCCCTCAATTTTACTAGTTTAAGAACAAAGAAACACTGCTATTAGGAAAATACGCTCTCTATATTTATATACATTTTTAATATTCAGACATACTATTCTCAGAAAACCGTTCTCTCCGAATTTCAATATATATCTCCCACATTGACCGATATTTTCCGTAAAAAGTCAACTATAGGCAGTGGGGTCCACATATTCGGTACGCTTAAACAGTTTTGGTTCGATTTGGACAATTTTTGCTCATAAGGTGGCACACTTATTTGTATATTGGAATGTGAAAGAATCAGATGGAATTTAAAATTGTGTTATATCGGAAGTAGACTTGGATGTAGTCCGTTTTCCATTTTTGCAGTGTAACATGGGGATATTATATGAATTTTATTGAATGAATTTGGTTGAAATCGGTGGAGCAAATCCTGAGATATGTGATTTTACCTAAAATTGGGCGGCACCACGCCCACTCTTCAATTTTATTATAAATATAAAGCCCTCTTGTGCCACCGGTATATGGGGAGTGGGTGAGGTTATCATCGGATTTCACCTTCACTATCGGAATATGGTTGAAAATATTTGTTGTGTGCAAATTTGGGTGATATAGCTTCATTGGTTTGAGAGATATATACAATAAACTTATTCGAGGGCGGGGCCAGACCCAACATTGAGTTCTGTACCTTAATCTACGGCTTAGTTATAGCATTTTATACGTTTTCGATTAATGGAGTTTTG